GAAGCAGCTGGACCGGGAGCTCCTCCTGGAAGCCTCGATCGTGAAGGCCTGGGTGTCATCACCGGACAGGCCTGCCGACTGGTTCCAGGAGGCCATGTCCGACATATGTGACGTGGCAATGCCCCGCGTCCGGCCAGGAAGCGCCCGGCGTCAAGTGTATTGGTGGTCGCGTGAGCTGACGTCTCTGCGCGAGGCGTGTGTCGCCGCGCGGCACCTGTACACCAGGCATCGCAGGCTCCGCATTCGTCCACCGAATGCGGCAGCCATTGAGGCGGAGCTGTACGAGGGATACAGAGCGGCGAAAACCGCCATCCGGGAGGCTGTCCTGCGGGCCCGGGATCGGGCCCGTGAGGAGATGCTGGAGACTCTCGACAGAGATCCGTGGGGGCGCCCTTACAAGATGGTGCGGGATAAACTCCGCACCTGGGCCCCCCCGCTGACGCAGTCTCCGGCCCCAGCTCGTGGAGGACGTGGTGAGCGCTCTGTTCCCTGCGCGAGGGGAACATCCGCCCCCGCCTATGGCTCCGCCACCTGCGGTGCCGGAAGCGGACCACCAGGACGACGACGACGACATCCCGGAAAGGACCGGGGTAGACCTGAGAGTGGCGGTACGTAGGCTCAAGGAATACCGCCCCAGGACCCGATGGCTTGCCTGGCAAAGCCTGGGTCCTGGCCTCGGAGGCTCTCAGGCCCCGACTGGAGGGGCTCCTAAGCGCATGCTTGGAGAGAGGCCAATTCCCGCTTCGTTGGAAGACGGGGAAGCTGGTCCTCATTCGGAAGCCGGGGCGCCCTGCGGACTCTCCGTCCGCATACCGGCCCGTGGTGCTGCTCGACGAGGTGGGCAAACTCTTTGAAAGAGTCATTGCAAACCGCCTCACCGAGCACCTTGCGGCGACGGGGCCGGATCTTGCGGAACACCAGTTTGGTTTCCGCAAGAGGCGCTCTACGGTGGACGCCATCATGCGCGTGAGAGCCCTCACGACGGGCGAAGCAGTGCCCAGAGGGGGGTTGTCTTGGCGGTGTCTCTCGACATCGCCAACGCCTTCAACTCCATGCCCTGGAGCTGCATTAGGGAGGCACTCCGGTATCACCGGGTGCCGACCTATCTCCGTCGTATAGTCGGGGACTACCTGACGGACAGGGCCGTCATCTACCCCGGTCCCAACGGTGAGTGGAACCGGCGAGAGATGTCGTGCGGTGTCCCACAGGGTTCGGTTCTAGGGCCACCTCTGTGGAACATCGGTTACGACTGGTTGCTGCGTGCCGACCTCCCTATCGGCGTCAGCGTAGTTTGCTACGCTGACGACACGCTGGTACTGGCACAAGGGGGGTTGTACGAGGCGGCGGCGGAAAATATGACACGCGGGATTGCGATAGTCGTTGAGAGGATTCGGCAACTGGGTCTCGAGGTGGCTCTGCACAAGTCCGAGGCCATGCACTTCCATGGTCCTCGGAACAGGCCACCACCGGGATCCTCAGTGATGGTAGGAGGGGTATCCATCGGCGTCGAGTCGACGCTGAAGTACCTTGGACTCGTCTTCGATGGCCGATGGAACTTCGTTGAGCACTTCCGACGTTTGGCTCCCAAACTGGAACGGACCGGGGCTGCCTTCAGGCGGCTCCTGCCGAACCTGGGAGGGCCAAACGCCTCCTGCCGGAGGCTCTACGCGGGGATCGTGCGGTCCATGGCCCTTTACGGGGCCCCGGTGTGGGCGCGTGGTTTGGCGCGGCTTGCCGTCCACCACCTGAACGCGCCCCAAAGGGTGATAGCCGTGAAAATGGTTCGCGGCTACCACACGATCTCCCGCGAGGCGGCGAGCCTCCTTGCCGGATTGCCGCCATGGGATCTGGAGGCGATAGTCCTCGCGCGCCTACACGAATGACGTGCGGAGGCACAGTGCCGTGGGGAAACCCCGCTGCCGCGGCAAGTTGTCGCGCAGCGGACAGACTTCCGGCACGATCTCATGGCGACATGGAGACAGCGACTGTCGCAACCCCGTGCTGGGCACGCCACTATAGCGGCGATAAGACCCCTCTTTGAGGAGTGGCTTGAGAGACGACACGGCATCCTCACCTTCCGCCTAACGCAGGTCCTCACCGGACACGGTGTGTTTGGGAGGTTCCTGCACCGAATCGGGCGGGAGGAAACGCCCGGGTGCTCCCACTGCGAGGATGGACCGGAGGACACGGTGGAACACACCGTGGAGGTGTGCCCTGCTTGGGCGGAGCACCGCCGTGTCCTCGTAGCGGCGATAGGCGGCGGCGACCTCTCGCGTCCGGCCCTGGTCGAAGCCATGGTCCGGAGCGAGACGGAATGGGATGCCGTCACCACCTTCTGCGAAGCAGTGATGCTAGCGAAGGAGGTGGCGGAGCGGGAAAAGGAGAGAGCATCAGCTTTCCTCCCCGGCCGCCGCGGGAGACGCCCCGGGCGTCGGGGGCTACGTCGTGGCCCCCGGCCACCGTAGGCGCGGGCCTGTGGACGGCGAATAATGGGTAGCTCGTCGTCCGTCCGTCTAATGACGACAGGCCGTGTCGACGGCGCGTTTTGTTCCACGCGCGCCTCAAAGAGCTGTCAGCAGCGTGAAGGGACCCGCAAGGGCCGACGCCTGCCGGGGCTGCGGGCTGTTCGAAACAGATATCGCGGCTCCGGAACGTAAGGGCACTGAAGGAACACGGATGGTTTTTAGTCAGTAAAAGTCTGACACTCCCTTACGCTCCACCCAGCGCGAAAGGGGTCATTAGATGATTTTCCATCCGCAAAAAAAAAAAAAAGCTTCAGGTCCTGCGCTTACGTCACAGTGAACGAGTGAAGCCAGCCACAGTCGAGCGTGTACCTGCTTTAATGCCATATGTCAGAGGAGTCACTGACAAGATTGGTTATATCTTGAAGCGCGCTTCCATTAAAACATATTTAAAGCCGCCGAAGAAGACTGGTCAGTTTTTACCATCAGTCAAGTGTAATGTCCCTCTGCAAGATGCAGGAGTGTACAAGCGTGATTGTGAATGTGGTCTGTCCTACATAGGACAAACTAAAAGATCAATTAAAACCCGCGTTAAAGAACATATAGCTGATGTGAAAAATCGACGCTCCGGGAAGTCTGCAGTCTGTGAACATATACAAGTTCGCCCCCGTCACATCACACATCATTAATGGAGCCTCACGCAAGTATGAGATCCGACCCAAGTCTCATCCGACATTATTCCGTTGATATCCCGGTCGTCAATCTCAGCAAGATTAGAATAGCTCCGGAGAGCCATTCTTATTCCATCTTGTATACAATTAAAGCGGAATTTCTGAAATCGGGTTCATGGCGGCGTTACTCTGGAGGCCTGGAGCAGAAGTGCGGTGGTTTTGTTCTTTAAGAATGGCGACAATGCCCCATTGAAGAACTATTGACCAATTTCTCTTCTGAGCGTTATAGACAGTTAAATCGTCTCACAAGCAGATGTGACGACTTCTACTTTCCCGAACAACACGATTTTCACAATCTCTACATTCATATTATCGGCAAAATGTACAGAAGACCAAAAAACATAAGCTACCCTTTTATCTTGCGCATAAGAGTGTAAGAAAGCCTTTGATTAAGTCGCAAGTTTAGCGATGCTACAGTGCCTTCAGCGGTGCCGGCTTGACTGTCGGAGTGTTTGTACAGAAAGGCTACGACAGTAATATGAGTACAGGACAAAAGGAAAACAAAGCACGAAGCCTTTCCGATTACAGAAAGGTGTAAGACAGGCTGACGTCACATATCCAAAACTCTTCACTGCTACATTAGAAGACGTTTTAAGTTATTGGACTGGCAACGTTACGGTATTAACATCAATGGCGAACACATAACTCACCTGCGATTTACCAACGACAATCGCTAGAGGATTTTAGCACTACGCTTAATGACCACACTAGTGTCTCCTAACGGATAGGTCTTAACATCCATGTCAAACCTATGTCAACATTTATGGCAGACATTCGCTAGAAGTTCTTGGGGAGTAAATTTACCTAGGGCAAATTTTGCGATTAAGTAAGTCCAAAATCGATGGATCCAGCTCGACTAGGTAGCGTTCGCAAGATTAGGACACATTTTCTCGTCACGTGTTTTTCAAAATATAACGTTTTAAAAAGTATTTTGTGCCGTAGCAGCAGTATACAACCAGTTCGGATTGCCAGTTATGACATACTCGTATAAAACGAAGATGTAAAGCTTCACCGCCAACCGTATGAAGAAGCTTAAGGTCAGTTCAGCATACTGTGTTTATGTGTGGAATCTCTGCACGACTGAATCTGTAAAGATGATATCCGTAAGCTGGGTTGGCCATATATCTCGACGAACAGACAACCGATGTGGAAGAAAGGTTCTAGAGTAGCAGCCTCGTATTGGCAAATGTAGTGTAGGATGACCTTCCAATACCCAGGCGGACGGCGTGGCGAAGCATATAGGATGCGAGATGCATGTTGCTACAATCTCCAAATCGCCTACTAAGCGTGGCGATTATGGCAAATCCTTTCTGCAATGGGAAACAATCTTGAGTTTAATCTTCCTCCTTTAAACTCTCCCGCCTCATCTGGTAACTGTCTTTCTAGCACTAAATTGTCTCCATTCTTCCCTGAATTTTTAAAATTATTTCACTTCAGCATGGGATTTAATGTTAACAAAAATTTGCTCTTAAATAATTATATTGTTATAGACTGTTAAATGCACATAATGCAATATTTTAAACATGGGTAGATTAGTTTACACAAAGTAGTTCATACTTATTGAATATTATACCTGTTTTGAAGTCATGCAACACAACAACTAACCTTTGGGAAGCATAAATTGTTGATAAATGCTAATAAACAACACCTAAGAATCAATAGATAAAGGATAATCAGCTCACCCATGCAGAAATAAATATATGTTCAGATTTAACTTAGTTAACTTCGTTTTTGTTAGAAATACATTTAATTGTACTATAACTACAAATAATACATTAACACATTGACAAAAATTACAAAAACTTACCTCATTGAATGGTTTTATTTTTGTATGCATAATAAAGTTAAATTTACACAGTTCACATGACCTAGTTTCTGATGCTGTCAGCCATTGTTGCAGACAACTTTGATGGACATATTTCAGACTACCTGTAAATAAAAATCAATTATATATTTATTAGAACAGTAGGCATAACAATTTAAAAAAGTATAGTAGATGAAACAAAACTCTAAACATTAATTTTAACATTCATTAGAAATGAAAAAATGAACTTTTTATAATTCACATTATATCTTTATCATTAATAATTTTTTATACATTTATTTTATATTTTATTTATCCATATCATTTTAAAAACCAATGAAAGCAAAACAATATTCTAAAAATGTATAGTTCATAAATAAATAACAGTGAATAGTCCATCTGTAATATCGAAATAATGGCCTGTCTTTGTCGCATATGCTTCTTTTCTCATTATATCACTAGAACACTTAACCATCTAGTGGCGGTGTAAGAATATCCACTACCCCATATTGTCCCAAGAGTGTCATGATTTTGCCATAGTTGCCATATTTGACAAAATCCCCTCATGAGGCAACCTATAAAGGGGGCCTATGTTTAGCAGTGGACTTTTATAGGCTGTAATGGATATATGGATCAAGTACACTGCCACACAGAATTAATAATAGTACTACATACAGAAGTTTAATAATTAGATAAATCATGCACATGAACTAAATTAAACTCTAGCTGTCCCTATGTGTTAACATCTTTTTCCCTTTCCATGTCACGGACAATATTTCATGGTTACAAAAGGCTCTCAACAAAGAGTAAAAAATACAAAACATATAAGTATAGTATCTTATGATTATTTATTTAATTTACAACTTTTTTACTTTAAATTATGTCATATTTATTTACTATCTGTCAACTGGTCATTTAATTTAAGAGTGGAGAAAACTCTAAATCAAACATATAATTTTAAGTAAATACTGGGAGGGATACCTTTTGACAAAGAGTGATAATACTAATATTCATTAATATTTTAGTAAATTATTTGCTGGTTATATCATTATTGTGTTTTCGAAATTGTTAATAAATATATTTTCTATAATATACATATAAATTACAATAAAACATAAACAACTATTTTATCCTTTATCTAAATATACTAAACAATAAACAAAAATATTAATATAAGTCTTCGCGAAAAATCTATTCACATAAATAGTGTTAAAATTTGAAATTCACTGAAACATTGCTCACCTAAAACATGCTAGCCCTGACTGCATATGCAACCTGAGGTTTTGCACAAATGTAGGCATTTATTTCAATCAGGTATCAAGAGTGACAGAGGCCTGACTGCCGTAAACCAAGTTCAGGCTTTATTTACATGCCATTATGACAGGAATAGAATTGATTAGAATCATTTTTATTTAATATAGACTACAAGAATAGCGATCACCTCATTCCCAGGATTTATTATCAATGATGTAGGTAATCGTTAGTAGTTTTTTTATTTTTTATTATTATCTGATAATCCTTATTAAACAATTTTTGATTAACAAACATTTTAGTTTTTGATGGATAGGTCCAGCATATTTTCTGAGACTGCTGTAAAAGTGTATACATCGCCCCAAGAATGACTCTTTGGAGTTAAGTAACTGAATTAACTACATACTACTAGGTTGATCAATAAGTTTTTGAAATAGGACACTTATCAATGACTTATAGAAATGCAGTCAAATTTTTTGGAATCTTAAATTCATTAGTAGCCAAGGCCAGAAAAAACTAAATTAAAAACTGTACCCAATTTTTTTTAAACTTCACATTTAGTGGAGAAACAAAATGGCAAAATGGAGAAATTCAAACTTTGTACGGTTATTAAATATTTCTGCTTTAACAATTTTTCTACATAGTGTTTTTGAAGAACTGCAGTCTACTTTGGCAGACAATGCTCTGTCTTATTCTACAGTGGCACACTGGTGCGCTGAATTTAACCAGGCAGAACCAGGCGGCTAATAATGGCTGCTATGCAAAAAAAAGGTAACATATTCAAATAAATTAAGGTACATTGACATATAACCATCCAATATTTTGGCCGATTTTCTAAAGCTTTCGTTCTTAGTTTATTTGAACTTATACATTCAAATTCAAAAAGGTGGCCGAAGGCTGGGTTTTAAAAATGTTAACAGATGCTTAAAAGAAAGCAAGGTTTGACATTTCAAAGCAAAATTTAGCAATAAGGAAAGATCTAGTCTTTTTGCCCTCATTTCATAACCGTAGATAAAACATGGGTACATCATTTTGAGACCCAGAAAAACCAAATCAAGGTGTGGAAAAGACCATCTTCCCTGCCAGTCAAGGGATAGAAGATGTCTGCATCTGCTGGATAAATAATGGCCTCTATCTTATAATGATTTCTTAAATTTATGCGAACACTACACATTGAATAAAACTAAATTTACGGATTTTATCGCGTTTATTTCACTACTTTTACTTATTTTTAATTCCCGACGTTTCGGGTGCTTTACAGCAACCATGGTCACGGGGGGGACTGAGATGTTTGACGTCCCAATGTCATAGTTAGTCCGGCTACCTTCAGTTTTTGAATATTAATTTTTGGTCCGATTTACGCAAAACGAGCTTATAGTATCATGAAGTCTTGCAGTGGTATGCTTAGGTTTGGGTTTAATTTTGTTAATTATAGGATCCCAAGCAGGTGGCAGCACCCATCCATCTTCTCTATTGAAATTTGGATGTTTTTTAATTTCAATAGCCTCGCGTATCATCCTTGGTAGGAATCGGTGTTCTTTTGCGAGAATTTGTGGTTTATCAAAACGAATGTAATGGTGGGGACGATCCTGAACATGTTCGCAGACTGCAGACTTCCCGGAGCGTCGGTGCTTCACGTCAGCTATATGTTCTTTCACGCGGGTTTTTATGGATCTTTTTGTTTGACCTATGTAAGAGAGACCACATTCACAATCTAACTTGTACACTCCTGCATCTTGTAGAGGGATACTACACTTGACGGATGGTAAAAATTGACTAATCTTCTTCGGCGGCTTGTAGTATGTTTTAATAGAAGCTCGCTTCAAGATGTAGCCAACCTTGTCTGTGACTCCTCTGACATATGGTAGTACAGCAGGTACACGCTCGACTGTGGCCGGCTTCACTCGGTCACTGTGACGTAGGCGCGGGACCCGAAGCTTGTTGTCTTGCAATACTTGCTTGACGTGCTGAAGTTCGGCGGCCAGATGTTTTCTGTCACAGATCCCTCGTGCTCTCTGAAACAAAGATTTACCCACGGTAGCTAACTGTGAAGGATGATGGTGAGATTCACCATTTAAATATCGGTTGGTATGGGTCTTTTTTCTATACACAGTGTGACCAATTGTGTTATTAGGATTTCGAATGACTAAAACATCTAAGAAAGCTAAAGAATTATTTGCCTCTAACTCCATTGTGAATTGTATTTTAGAGTTTATAGAGTTAAGGTGGTTTAAAAATGCAGTTACTTTGTCAGATGGTAATATTGTGAAAGTGTCGTCTACGTACCGCTTGTAGAATCTTGGATTTACAGGAGCAGTAAGAAGGGCTTTCTCCTCGAAATCCTCCATGAATATGTCAGCGACTATGGGAGATACAGGTGAGCCCATAGCCACACCATCTACTTGCTTGTAGAACTCTTCCTTCCACAATAGATAGCCAGATGTGAGGCAGTGTTTGAGTAATACTGCATATTCAGCAGGCATGTTATTATATTCTAGCTTCCTAGTTACAATTGATATGCAGTCTTCAATAGGTAGGCATGTGAATAGTGACTGAACATCAAAACTGACCATAGTATCATTGTCAGCGAGATGTAGGTAAGGTAGCCGGACTAACATTGACATTGGGACGTCAAACATCTCGGTCCCCCGTGACCATGGTTGCTGTAAAGCACCCGAAACGTCGGGAATTAAAAATAAGTAAAAGTAGTGAAATAAACGCGATAAAATCCGTAAATTTAGTTTTATTCAATGGCCTCTATCTTCTTCATTGCAGTAGGTATAATAATGATCAATTATTTAAGTAAAGGAATGACAATAACCCGAGATTAGTATACATTATTGTTCATAAACTATGCAAAGAACTAAAGAATAAATGCCAAGGCATAATGTGTGCTGAAGTGCTTTTTCATCATGATAATACCCCTTTCCATTAATCCGATGTTGCAGGAGCTGCTATCCAAAATGTTGGGTTTCAGTTCATGCAGCACCCATCATATTTTCTGGACCTAGCTCCGATTGATTTCTACCTTTTTACTCACTTGAAAAAGCACTTATGTGATATGAATTTTGACAGCGATGATGAGGTGATGTGTGCTGTAAAGGCCTTTTTGGTGTTCAAGGCTTTTTTCCAAGGGAATTAACCAACTTACAAAACACTTTTCAAGGTGTATTAGCTTAAAAGGCGATTATGTTGAAAAAATCAATACAATTTACATAATTATACTTATCCAAGAGTTTTATTTTGTTTTCAAAAACTTATTGATCAAACTAGTAATAAACATACTCTCCATAACAATCGGCATGCTACCAGCCCAGGAGAATCAGCACTACATATAGTGGTAAGCCAAATTGAAGTAGCCTATGTAACAAAGAGTTGTATGTCGCCACCTTCTTGGATATTGAGGGTGCCTTATAAAAAACAAACTTCAATGGCATAGATGCAGCCTTTGCCAGATATTGTGTGGAACCCATCTTTACAGAATAGATTAACACATCTTTAAAGAATAGTATGATTTACAGGTACAATATTAGCAACCCTTTTAATGAAAGGCTGCCCATAAGGCGGAATTTGGTCATTAATGCTCTAATCATGGAGCTGAATTTAAATCACTTATTTACTGTTGGGTATACATAAAACCTGATAATAAGTACCCATCACAAACAAATTGGCAATCCTAGACTGCAATCTTTCACAGGCAGCAACAATAAGAATAGTAGAGAGATGGTACATTGACTAAGACTTAAAGATAAATCCGAAATGATCATATAGCACCTATAGACATGTCCAAGATAACTCTACCTTTTACCTAAACTGTTCAGCACAAAGTTATCACTGTCACCAGGGGTAAAATACCTTGGCATTATTTTAGACAGCAAGCTAAATAGGTAAAGTTACATCGATTCCAAAGTTAACAAGGCACATATTATCTCCTGCCAAGCAAGAGGATGAAAGTTAAACACTGGGGTCTGCCTCCAAAATATTTCTGTTGCTGTACAAAACAGTGATAAGATCTATGATCTGTTATGTCAATAGTCTAGTGTAAGAAAACCAACCTAAACTCCACTAGGAACAAACTTTAAAGATACCAGAAATTGGCATAGATGGCCACCACTGGGCCCATGAAAACAATATTTACTAGGGAGGCCATGTTTGACCTGACACCATTGCATCTTTTCATCCAGTAAGGAGCAATGCTTTCAACTATTAGCTATTTTGGGTTTTTTAGGCTTGGATTTGCAATTTGGTTAAACTGTAAGAAGATTTACCTATTCAGCATAAAGTAGACAGATCCCAAAACAATTTGTTTGAAAATTGGGTACAAAATCCGGTTATACAAACCATAGAAAGCTGAAGGTCTTCAGGTCTTGTTTTCTCATAATTTTCTATCGTGAATTAGATATCTAAACCTAATGCCGAAATCAATCTACAAACATTATAACTAACAATGAGTGTACTATCGTATCGTATAGTGAATAGATTTCACATGATTAATTTTAAAAAGTTACCAGAACAGTAGCACGGTGCCAGCAAAGGATTATGAGCTTCACTTTCGCAATGGCAAATGCGACAGATGTCTCCGCTTGAGTTACTACATGAAGTACGACTGCTCCCTGATTCAGCCCTAACTGCCTCTCTTCCACAACCACCACCCCATTCCCAACTTTCGATATCAGATGAATTCTTTACGTTTATTTGCTGAACTGGCATTATGTTTGACAAATGTTCAGCGCGGCGCACGTAATATAATACACCTCATTCACAATGTATATTTATGATTATGATCACATTGCATATTGACAATGCAAATATCGGGAAACATGTCACACTTCGAATTATTTTAACTCAAGCTCAATACTTTAAAAACGAAGAAAATTTAACAGGAAATTTATTGTATATATACTCAACAAAATAAACACTCCCGTTTTGCTATAGATACTCTTTGCTCTTTGTTAAACACTATACCATAGATAAATAAATATGTAGCTATATACTTTTTCGTAGTTCTTACGCCAGTAATAATACCTCTATCAAACTACCCTGAATCAGGGTCTCTACGCCCTGGTGTAATCCTTTTTAGGGGAATATATGTTCTGTGAAGGTAATAAGAGAAAGGGAGTAAGGGTCCCTAATTAGGGCGTCAAAGTGGACGTGGTTTACAGGTAGGACTAGCTTGCTACATATTTATTTATCTATGGGTAGGACTAGGCGTTAATTTCTGAAACAGTTTTACGCAACAGTTTTTCTCAATGAAACGAAGCAACGGTTTCTTGTTTGTTCACAAACCAGTTCTTAGAAATAAAACGAAACTGTGGAACGTACGTCGCCGGACGAAACGAATGAAATGAATAACCAGCACAGACCATTACAACCAGTTTTCAAAATCAGTTTTTGTAAAGTAAGTATTATTAATTGTAAATATAGTGTATTAGATATAAAACTTATATAGTGTAAAATTGGTTTTTCTTTTAAAATTAGACTTCTTTGGATTTGACAAGTGTTGTAATGTTTAATAGTTTCACAATGTCACACAGAAAAAACTGCAGGGAAATATGGGATTATTTTGATGTCAAGACGGTAAATCCCTTTGTAAAACAGGTAATCAATCATTTAGTGGTAAATCCAATACAGCTAATTTAAAAAATCACTTAAAACAAAGTATTTTTCTGCCAGTCCTAAGCCTGGAAAAAGTATGAAGAGAAGTTCGTTTTTCACGCTCAATGAATCGTTCGAATGCTTTTTTTAAAACAGTTTCTTGAAACCGTTTCTTTTTGCCTAAAACCTGTTTCGTCCCGTTTTTTACAAAAGGCGTTTCTGCCCAGTTCCACTTTAGTGACCTTGCCACAGTGCAATATAATAACACCAACCCCTTTTGGGGTATGTATGTTCTGTGAATGACACTCACAATAAGGGAGTTAAGGCACTTATTCGATGCGCGACTAGGGATGTAAACGACACATTAATTCTTTCAAACATCGATATATCGTTCATAATAATGGCTAATATTTCCAATATAGACCATCGATTTACATGCCCATATTTTTTTGTAGATAGTACTTACTAAAAGAAAGCGTTTTGCAAAGTTTTAGGTTGCGGAAACTTACGGTTCATGAGATATATTTTTTTTAACTTTTCATACAAATTGGCAAATAACACGCAATTACAAAATAAATTTGATAAATGATTGATGTCAAACGTCAATTAGTGTAGGGTTCCGAATATTTTGAAGGTATCGATACCTACTCGATACCAAGTATCGTATCAAAAGTATCAATACTACTTGGTATCGAGTACATTTCGTTAATTTTGGAGACGAAAAATTATGACAAACCAGAATTAGATGCATAGGAAGAGCTGATAGGTGCAATTATATATGTATATAAAGTAGAGTAAAGTTTACTCTATTTAAGTTCCACCTTAGTACTTGTATTTCATTGTTTGCAACTTGTTTGTATTTCTTAATTAGTACAGCTTTTGTACTTGTATTTTATTGTTTGTAACTTTCTGTATTATCTAATTCTTACTACAATAAAGTGTTTACTAACTTATTTAATATCCAAAAAGTACCCAAAATCAGAGCACCCCGCCCGCCGTAGGGAAGCGCAGGCACCGAGATCGCCGTAGCGGCTGAGGCTGGTCCAAGAAGACCAAGAAGACGAAGCTGCGAAGGCGAGCTCAGGTGCTTTGTTTTCCTACGCTAGGGCGGAGGGACTGCTCATCCCACCGCGCCGAAGGTGCCACGGAGCGCCGGAACACGACTTCCCTTTCTACCCCCCTGTCCATCTCACTTCCGCACTACTAACCCACCACACCACTTCCCCGCTACTAACTGCACACCCCCTCTCCTCCCATAAGCCCCTCCCTTTTCTTCATTTAATCTAGTTAATTTTCCCCTCCTCCCCATATCCCCTCTCCATTTCACCGGACATACGGAAACGAGAATAATAATAAATAATGTAATAAATTTTAACCATGAATATCACCAAAACCATGGGGTTCCGCAGGGTGGGGATGGCACAGGGGGTATCCATTCCCCTCCCCCCCCCCTAAAATCTCATATATCGATGGTCCATATTGGAAAGTTAGTCTCCAAAATTAACGAAATGTACTCGATACCAAGTAGTATTGATACTTTTGATGTGATACTTGATATCGAGTAGGTATCGATACATTCAAAATGTTCGGAACCCTACACTAATTGATACGTGAAGTGATTGACGTTTGACACGAATTATTTGTCTAATTAAATAACTTTTAGTGTTAGTTTTTCTATATTATAGTTTCTTTTTTTACATATTGTGTGTAATTAGTATTAATTGTAAATATTATAATTTCATTTCATTAATTAGAAAAAATGTTGGCCTTTATTTGTCAAATTTATTTTGTATTTGCGTGTTGGCAAATCCAATTTGTATGAAAAGTTAAAAAAAAATATATCTCATGAACCGTAAGTTTACGCTACCTAAAACTTTGCAAAACGCTTTCTTTTAGTAAGTACTATCTACAAAAAAATATGGGCATTTAAATCGATGGTCAATATTGGAAATTTTAACCATAATAATGGTTCTTCATGAGCGATGTTTTATAAACGATGGCTTGACGTCAAAGGTAACGTTTATAACGAAATAACCAACTATTCGAAGGTATAAAATTCTGAATGTTAAATGTTGGGAACGATGATTATAACGAATTTTATGTTACCGAAAAATAAATATTCCAAATAAAAAGTGTCAAGGTTATATAAGGAATAAATTTTTAAAGTATTTAGTAGTAATAACTCAATCCCGAAAATTTTAATTACGAATCAACAAACAGGCGAATTGTCTTTCATGTGTAGCGTGCATATCTCTTCGATCTTTTATTACTCTGACTTATATTGTCCGTTCATCGTAACTTGACGCGTGATCCGATTGGTAGCCCCGTAATTTACAGTGTTGCATGTTTCAATGCGAATGGCGTTCCCGAAATGTAGAGACAGGCATTATGGACTGGGATATAAGAGCATGTATGCATGCATCTCAATCACGAGCTTGCGAGTTCAAACTTGGCATGTACAGTCGAACGCACTTAGCGCTAACAGTTAAGCCTTAAAAACGTCTTTATTTCGTATGAGTAAGGGCATTCATTTCGTAATTCAACTGTTACTACGGAGGTGCTGATGATTATATACTTATGTGACCTTTTAAGTGTCATAGTGTACTCTCTGTAACAATTTATATATCAATGGGAACATTCAGGTTAAATTAATTAAGACAGGGTTAAAATAATCACTTTATATAATTATGATCAATGTAAAGGGACCTTGTAAAGGGATCATATCTTCTTCAATGTTACTTGGATGCTGACTGTCACTATCACTTTCGTCAGTGTCACTGTCAATCCACAATAAAAAGCGATCACTTCCTTCATCTATTATTTTATCTTTCACTATGTACTCATCTTCAATTTTTATACCGTGTGAGCACTCTTTATTTCACAGCTGATTGCTTATTGAACCAAACAATTCTTTTATAAGTGATTACACTTGATCATCTCTCTGGCCACATTTTTCTCTGCGAACCGTCTCTTCATATTAACTCAATTAAATGCGCATGATATGGGGGCAATTGCAAAACATTATGACCATGTGATTTTATTAATTTGTCAGCTTTATACATGGGCTTTGGTTTATTTTTTTATTAAGTAATTCATATAAAACATTTTTGGCAAATTTGGTGAAAACAACAGTCCCTTGTTTTGAAGCCATATTAGGGCTTTTATTTGTTTGAACAGTGTGATATAGTGTTTTTTGTCCATCACAATTACACAATTACGTTGCAGGTTTGGTAAAACTCAGTCGTTATGGTAGTCTGATGATTTAGTTTGTGACTTGAATAGCAGTAACTCGTTATTAACGAAGCCGTCTGAAGTGTAGACCCCATATGAATAATGAATAAATGTTTAATCTAAATCGACTATAGTCCACGTTTCTTCTCGGTATTGTTTTAATTTTATTCAAGTAATTAAATCGCCAGGCAGATATATCTGTACGTTTCACTAAAATTTTTCGTTTTGTTTTACACTTTTTGTATTTATATCCTAGTCGTTTTAACATTTTCCATAGTGTAGTACACACACCTTTAAATTTTATTTCATATCGCATATTTGTTCAACATAGGAATTTATTTTTGTACAGTTATTTCGTGTATATATATATATATATATTTTCTTCACATACAACTATTTAAATATCATTTAGCATTTTACAAACTGTTGTCAGTTAAATCCAAAGAATATAAATATATAATATAATATATATTTATATTCTTTAGATTTATGTCGTTTAGCAATTTTAACCACTTTCAGCCTTTTTAAAATTAAGATTACATAATTAAAAAACAAAAGAGCACACAGATAGCAACCGATCAAATTCAAAGAAAGATGACGGCTAAGGAAATAGTGCTACCAATCACTCACGCGTCAAGTTAAGATGAACGGACAATAGGTACATTCATGTACCGAGTCGATATATTGATAACGTCATATAAAGAACGCTCTAGAGGGCGCTGTAGGTGGAGACAATAATTCGCGGGTTTGTAATTTCCTTAGATACTTCGTGGTCTATGATTATTCGGCGCAGTTGCACAAAAGTATTATAATACAAAATGACGGAACTTTCAAGCAACCATAATTTTCTCATAATTATTTATACCTTAGAGCATACATTACAT